TGGATGTGGGTTGTGCCAAGATCTCCTCAGATGCTCAGAGACTTGTGTGCTTGGCTACTTAGCCCCGGAGGAGCCAGCCCCACAGCAGGCTAGCCCCCGAGGAGCCAACCCCACAGCAGGCTAGCCCCGGAGGAGCCAGCCCCACAGCAGCAGGCTAGCCCCCGAGGAGCCAGCCCCACAGCAGGCTAGCCCCGGAGGAGGAGCCAGCCCCACAGCAGGCTAGCCCCCGAGGAGCCAGCCCCACAGCAGCCTTCTGGGGCCATCAGGAGTCCTGCACATCCCCTGCACAAGAGCACGTAGGCCCTTTTTATTTTAAGCTTTTACTGTTGAACCAAAATAGCAGCACCAGGATAAGTCTCCGTTCTGAATCCCTTCTGGAAGCCCACTGAGACTTGGCTTTTACCCCCTGGGTCGGGTTTTCTTTTTCCTTTTGACCTCCTTTCCCTGGTCTCACTAAAGGGCACACTCACTCTCAGAGAAGCCTGAAGACAGACAGAAGGTTGGGTGGTGCTTTGCATCTGGGGGGACGAGGGGTGTTGGCGTCGCGGGGGCGGGAGGGTAGCAAACGTCCCTGGATATTGGAGTCTCAGCCACTCGGGATTCATTTCTTCAAGGCCCTTGTGTTCTTGAGCAATTCACATAACAATTTCTCAGGCAATGTGAGGTTTATATTGGGTCTTCCTCCTCCCTCCCCTGCCCAATTAAAATTTGCTCCCAGCTGTTTCTGGATTGTGCCAAGGGCATGGTCTGTCCATCTGTGAGTTCACTGACACTGTCTGATGAGTGAAGTTCACCCAGTGGGCTAAGGGCCTGGCTGCCAGAGTCCTCAGGAGAACACTCCACAAGCTGTTTTCCTAAGTTGACTTCAGATGACATCCTTTGCTTTTGAAAAACAGTATCCCAGACATGAAATAAACTGTGAGTCATCCAATAAATAGAATGCTATGCTTGTACCATGGCTGCTGTTAGAGTATTGTATCCTAGTATTCATTTAATTATCTGTTTGCTGTAAAAGTTGGCAGTCCTGGCTTTCCTCTCCAATGTAAACAAAATGATACTGTTTAATCCCATCACGGTTTATTGCCATAATAGTGGAAACTTTAATTTTTTTTGGCTGGTTTCAATTTCTATGTAGTTTTAGAATGGGAAGTTTTCAGGGAAATGTCCTTTCTTTCTTCTTCTTCTTCTTCTTTTTTTTTTTTTTAAATAATCAGGCTTTCCTTGTAACTAAAAAATACTGTTTTTAATTGAAAGCCAGAGGAGTTACAAAGAAGAGGGGAGGAGACCATGAGTGAGAGCAGGTACTTTCATCTGCTGGTTCTCCAAATAGCCATAATGGCTGTGGTTGGAAGCTGGGAGCCGGGAGCTCCACCCATGTGTTTCTTGTGGGTGTCAGGGTTGAAGCACTTGGGTCATCTTTTACTGCTTTCCCAGGCACATTAGCAGGGAGCTGGATCAGAAACGGGGCATCATGCTTCCCACATGAGTGTCATGTCTTGGGTGGCAGTTTAAAGGAGCCAAAATTCAATGTTCACTTTGAAAATGAACAAGCTCTTGTCAGCAGCAGTTAACTGATAAAGAATTACAGAGGTCTTTTTTTGTGTGTGCTGTGAAACATCTGTGCGTGTGTGTGGTGGGGGTGCCAACCATTCAGGGCCTAGTTGGCAGCCTTGGCAGTCCAGAAACGTGCTGGCTTCAGCTCACTGAGGGGTGTGTGGACTCGGGGGCACTGACTGCTTTCACTGGCTGGTAGATTTTCTCTTCCTGCAGCGCGGGCTGTTGGGGAAGCCAAGCAACAGCTGCAGGTTTGCTTGGGGAGCGTGACATCAGAGCGAAAGGGGCTGCTCAGCCTGGGTGGCATGTATCTCAGTGTCTTGGGGAACTGATGGATTCCTCTCTGCAGGGACAGTGCTGTGGGGCACCCACTGCTCAGCCTCTCGGCTGGCTGGACAGTCTCGCCTCTTACTCAGCTAGAAACAGGATGAATGGCCTCTTGTTAAAGGGAACACAAAGCCCTTTATGATTTGAGATGAAAGCTGTGAAGACGAGACTGTGCATGTACATAGCAGCTTGTTCCCCTTCTCCTTGCCATGCCTCTCCCTTTGACTTTGGGTGTTCACCACATCTGTAGCCCCAGAGGGAGGTGGTGCTAAAGCATGAGACACATGTGCAGTTATTGTACAAGCATTGGCACATGAGGGATAGAGTCTTGTACATAAGCTGCTGCAAAACATGTGATCTTCACCAAATCCTCCATCATGGCCAGGTTAAACAGTGCCTTTGTCAGCAGCTTTCTGCAGAGATGGAGAGATAAAAGATTTCTTACATCTGCTGGTTTACTCCCCACATGGTTGCAAAGGCTGGAGCTGAGCCAATCTGAAGGCAGAGCCTGGAGTTTTTTTGGGGAGGTTTCCCACATGGATGCAAGGACTGAAGGACTTGAGTTGTCCTCTGCTGCTTTCCCATGTGAAAGCAGGGCACTAGATCAGAAGTGGAGCAGCTGGGACTCAAACTGGTGCCCATATGGGTTGTTAGTGCCACAGGTGGAGGATGCCATTGTGCTGGCCCCTGCTTTTGTCTTTTGACGTGATACCTTTATCTTTACCCTAGCCAAGCAGCTGAAGCGAGTTCATACACATCCCTTATTAGCTTTGTTTACTTTTGCAGATGGCTAATCTCATTTTAATGGGTTTTTCATACATATTATTGTTAAAGTTGTACCATGTCTGCCATTGTCCTTTCTTTCTAAGTGTGCTTCCTAAAGCTCTGAATATATTATAACATAAATACTCCAGAGTTACAGGAATGACCATTTCTTTTCTGGCTTGTCCGAAACACAATTTAGCAAATAGTGAGTTTTTTTTTCTTTTTTTATAATCAATAGCAGCCGTTCAGATAGTTTCATCTTTGACCTGGTCACATGCTGTGTCCCTTTGGCAAGGCTTTCTGAGGTCACAGACATGATGTTTCAGGCTTGGCTACCATTTCTGCCCCAGCTCTGGAATCAGTCACTACTCAAAGGAAAGGAATGGGTTCTAGTGGTGTGGGTGGTATTCATTATTGCTGGGTTTTTCTTAACTTCCTATCCTATTCAGGATCTTTTCTTTCTTTTTTTTTTTTAAATAAAAGATGAGTTCATAGTAGTGTTTATAATTTAAATACAGAATGTTAAATAAAAGTTAATTGTCTTAATTATAGTATATTATGTTACACTAAAAACATCTTGGTTTCTTTGACATAATACCAATGTTATTAATAACTATTAGCAAATATAATTTAAGCTGTCTTTGTAACTTTATGTGACTTTGTAATATACAGGAGTACTTCAAAAAGCTGATGGGAAAATTGGAATTAAAATCATTTTGGTAGGCCTGGTGTGGTAACCTAGTGGTTAGAGTCCTTGCCTTGGATATAACAGCATGCCATATGGGTGCTGGTTCATGTCCCAGCTGCTCCACTTTCCAACTAGCTCCCTACTTATTGCCTGGGAAAGCAGTTGAGGACAGCCCAAAGCCTTGGGATCCTACACCCACATGGGAGACCCAGAAGAAGCTTCAGGCACCTTGCTCTGGTCTGGCTCAGCTGTGGCTGTTGTGGCCACTTGGGGATTGAACCAGCGGATGAAGGATATTTGTCTCTGTAAATCTGACTTTCCAATAAAAATAAATGTTTGAAAAAAATTATTTTGGTGCAGAAAACAGACCCATGCATGGCTTTTTCATAATGCATAGAGCTTTTTGGAGATCTCATATAAGCTGTGGTTGATACACAGCCATAACTTTGTGCTTTAAGTTAATTTAATTGTTTTTTCCTGTGGTCTAATGTTAAGTATTTGGGTAGATTCATTTGTTTCCATGCATTTTGTTTTTTAGGATTTTCTTTAAAAACTTAAAAATTTATTAACATGGCACATTATTTCTCATTCAGAATTATATGACTGTAATGTACAAAGTCTCAGTCTTCCATTGCTGTCTCCACTCTTCTATATATTTGATCAGGCTTTGGTTTATCTCGTGTTTCTTTTTGTTAAAGATCAACAACAGATACAAATGTCTATATGTCTCTGAACTCTTAAGTTTTTAACGTCCCATCCCCGTTTTTTTCTTTGAAAGGCGGCGGGGGGGGAGGGGTAGGAGTCACTGAGGGACTAGAGAGAGAGAAAGAGAAATATCTTCCTATCTTTCATCTTCTGGTCTGTTGGTTTATTGCCCTGGCAACAATCGGGGCTGGGCCGGGCTGGGCTGGGCCAAAGCCAGGAGCCAGGAACTTCACCAGGGTCTGCCCAGTGAGTGGCAGGAACTGAAGAAGTTGAGCCACCACCACCTGCTGCTTCTCAGGGTGTGCGAAGCTGGCCCGGTAGTGGAGGATTTGGAGCTAGCATCAGGGACTTGAAGTGCAGACTTCCCAGGCGACAACTTTGCACCCCACTGTGCCAAATACACATCTCAACAATTTTGTATCTATATATCTATATCTATAGTAACGATGGTCAGTGAAGTCTCGGGTTGCAGAGGCGAGGAAACAGTTCCTTTAAAATATGCTTTTATATAATGAAAACATTTTTCTCCAAGCCCATTTTTTCCAAGGGAAACAACCTTTCCCCGTCCTGCCCACCCCCCATCGTTCCAAGCCTCTCAGCTGTCAGACTTCAGGGCAATTTGGGATGAAGCTTTGCTCTTTACAGTCGGCCAGCTTTTATGCCGAGCTGCCAGATTGGCTCTCGGGCCCGCCGCTCTGCGGCTGGCTGCCAGGGTTCGCTGCGCATCTGCTGGTTGGCTTTCAGAGCCCGGGCCTGCTCTCTTGGGCACCTCTCCCGAGAGAGGCGCGGAAATCGCTGCAGGTCTCTACCTGCCCCTGGTTGCGAGGCCGAGGCCGGGGAGCGTAGGCCGCTCCGCCTTCGCGCGCCTAGGAAGAGATGGGGGGCGGGAAGGAGCGCCGCCTCCGTCTCCCGAGCGCTCGCTCCCTCGCTCGCTCCCGCCCTCCTCCCCGCCCCAAGCCCTCTCCTGCCTCCACCGGGCTGGCTCCGCACTGCAGATACCCGTTGGCTGCTCAGTGCTGGGCGGCTTCCCTCGCTGTCCCGCAAGTCCCCTCGGTATCAGGGCGCCAACCGCGCGCTCTCGCGGTTCCCGGGGGACCCTCACCAGCGCCGACTCACCGGGCCTCGCGCGCGAAGTCGCTGCACCGGCGGGGCGGTGGGGCGGAAGGCGGACGGTGGCTGCGCAGGAGCCCAGGGCGCTCTCGGATGCGACAGGACAAGCTGAGCAGCTCCCTGAGGCGCGGGGGAAAATGCCTGAAGCGGCAGGGCGGCGGCGGTGGCGTGGGCACCATCCTGAGCAATGTGCTCAAGAAGCGCAGCTGCATCTCCCGGACGGCGCCCCGGCTGCTCTGCACCCTGGAGCCGGGTGAGGACCCGCGGCAGCGGCGAACGCGCTGGACCAGCTCGGTACCGGCCTCTCCCTCCGCCGTACTCCGCGGCCGCGCAGCGTCCTCGGAACCCTGGAGCGGCTCGGTCGGCCTGGGAAGGCGGAGCTCGGACGAGGGCCTGGGTCGGGGCTTGGGATACGCGCGGCTCCCGCCAGCCGCCGGCGAAAACCCAGTCTCTGTTCTCAGCCTTTGCGCCCGGCCTTCTCTGGGTGGTGGGGAAGTCAGAGGCTGCGCCACTTACTATGCTCTGGGTTTCCAGGAGGCAGCCAGACCTTGAAAAGTATAGGGCGAAGAAAGGCACAGGTTTGATCCTAGAGGTCGGAGAGGGAAGGCCACTGCTGCGAAGAATAATAGGGTGTGTTTTCTGAAGGTCCCTGCACCGTGGTTCTGGAGGACAGCTGGCCTCGCGCGGCTTAGGGAGCTTGTAGACCCTTTTTCTCTAGGTGAGGTTCCAGAGCGCATGTGGCTGCGCTGGGCTCGGCTCAGGTACCGTCAGCCGATGTTTACAACGCCCTGTTTCTTTGAGCTGCACAACTCCGCGTCAGCCCCTCCCCGCCGCGTCCAGCTGGGCGTCCAGGAGCGCGGGCCTGGCCCCTGGGCGCGGAGGCTTCAGGCAAGGAGTGGCTGCCGAGGAGCTAGCTGGCGGTCCCCGCACCGGCGCTTTGCGTTCAGTTGTCCCAGGAGTGGCACCAGCTGGGCTCCAAGGCAGGCTTGCCCTCCCCACCTCCGGCGTCTCGGCGTCTTCAGGGAATTACTGTCGGGAGCTGCGGGAAATTCGCTTGGCGAACCGGCCCCTCCGCGTGGAACGCGTCGGCACATTTTCCAACCTCGTGGTTTCTTTGTTTTTCTCCCCACGGAAGTGTCTGGTTTCAGAGACTGTTGTATTTATTCACCGTCTTCCTTTGCCCTCTTTTAAGAAAAATCTCTTTCCCACGTTCAGAGTGGGTGATTTGTATTTCTGAAGCCCGAACAGCTGTGATTATCAGATGAAACCTAAACCCTCTGCTTCCCCTTTCAATTAGAAGGGGGGGGGGGAGGAGGAGGGTTGAAAATGACCTGATTTAAGCTGTTGCAGCAGGCGGAGAATGATCAATTCCAGTTAAATCCTCTGACTCATTATGGTCGTGAGAAGACAGTTGTGCTTTTGGCTAACTAAGCCCGGCACGGGTAGGCAGACAGGCAGGCAATCAGCCAGATGCCCAGCAGGTGCTTTGAAAATGTCAAAAGGGTGTGTTTAGTCACACATACGAGGAAACCAGGGCTTCTATAGAGGGCGGCAAGAGTCAATCATTACAGGGCCAAATATTCGGTTCTTTGTTACCACCTATTAAACGTCACGGGCTCTCCCGCATTCAGCACCCCGAGAATGGACAGCAGCCTCCCAAGGTTGTTTCATGAAGTGAAATCACCGGCTGGAGCTGGAGGCCCTGTAGTAATCCCCTCTGCACTGGGTCAGGACTTGATTTAAACCTGCTCTGAGAGATAGAAATACGTGGGGGTTCCTTAATATTCCTTCAGAGAAGAAAACCTGATCTATGGGTCTCCAGGCGGAGTGTGGTTTTGACCTTGAAGCTTTGAAAAGAGTTATCAAGGCATTGATTAGATGCCTGAGATCATCTCCCACAGCTTGATTTACGACATCTAGGACTCTGAATGCATTTACAGCACTTCTCCCGGGCTCCGAGAAGGGCATCTGTATGTTGCCATGGTTGGGGCAGATTAGATGCATGGCTTTCAAGCTTCTTGACTGTCTCTGTGTTATATCTGTAACTATATGTGTCATTACAAAGACTCATTAATATTGTTATTATTTTACAAATTCTCAAAGTTTTTCCTTCTCATACCAAGTCCCCAGTGGAACTTGTGGTGAGGTTTACGATATGCCTAATTGGCTGTTATATTTTAGAAGCGAACATATCATCATTTGACTTTTGTGATGTGTGAAACAATATTATTGGTAATATTGAATCTCTCTTGGTTCTTGAACTCTTGAGCCCTGTTTTTTTAAGTGAATTTTAAGTTTCTCATTGATTTTGAAAGTCTAGAGGAGCAATATATAGCAACTTCAAATCCAACTATGTTTTTGTGGAATTTGAATGGCAATAATGTCATTTAGTTTACTTCAGTAATAGCACATAAATCTGAAATTCTGAATAAAAGCCCAATTTAAAACGTTAAACTCAGAGTCTAGACATTTTCCTATTATTTTAGTACATAGATTTGGTTTGAGTCAGAGAAGTTTAAAGTTTTAGATTGTTTGGGATTAGAGTTGTTTTATTTCTGGCTTTTGATCTGTAATTTTATGACACACTGTTTCATCTTCAAGGAATATATATATCATATGTATGATATATATAGTAATATATATAATATGTAGAAAAGTCTCTACATGGCATTATGATAGGTCATTCCATATGATTGAAGACAATGATACTATTTTTTAGCTTTTGGTGTGGTGATGAAGTTTGCTTAGTAGTCTTGGTTCATGCAAGTGTCCTAGAAAAATGAACCTTGTGAGCAGGGAATTATCTTCCTAAATTTCACAAATATTAATTACACTATGTTCAGTGATTTACAGTTTTAATCACAACAACCCTCTGAGATGGATACAGTTGTCCTCATTGTAAAGTTAAATCGTTCAAGTTTAGGAACCCAAGTTAAATGGAGGACAGTATGACTCCAAGAGAGAGAGAGAGAGAGAGAGAATTTTGTTTTGTTTTTGCCTTTTCACTCCTCCAGGCAGCTGTGAAACATTCTGTCCTATGAGAAGTTCCAATTCTGTTGCTGTAAGGCTGTTTACCTATCAATATAATTACTTTGGCTTTGAACAAAATTTATTAAACTATAATGTGAATATGTTTTAAAAATTTTGTAGAATGTTATTTTTACCGTAACTTGATACAGTCTCCAAAAATAACTATTTATATATTTTTCTTTCAGGGGTTGATACGAAGCTGAAGTTCACACTTGAGCCATCTCTAGGTAAAAATGGTTTTCAGCAGGTAACTTTGTTTTTTATTTTGAAAGTAGTACCTTTTTGGAGTACCAATAGTGTGATTGATAGATTTTCAAGATGTATTGTGCTTTTCATCTTCCCAGTCTCAGATACTTAAAAGCTAAAATTGTTCTGGGTTTATGCTTGCAATGCAGAATTTTGCCCTTTCTACTAATGATGCAAGTGTGAACAGATCTGAAAAACAAATGCCTGTGTTTCTGAACCAGAGCTTCTCAACCATTGTATGTGTGCTGAAAATAGGTCACAGCTGTGATGGGGTGCTGAAGGACAGGCATGGTGCTGAAAGGATCATCACTGTGGCTGAAAGATTTGACTGTCCCTGTGTGCTAAACAAATTGTCCTCTATGGTGTCAGGCTGGGAAGAACATTGAAAAGGGCTTAGCTTGGTTCCTGTTGTCCATCCCTGATGACCTTCTTTGTTCCTAGTGGTATGATGCCCTCAAGGCAGTTGCCAGGCTATCCACTGGAATACCCAAGGAATGGAGGAGAAAGGTAAGGGGGATTCCTAGGGCCAGAATATAAAATGATTATCAGTGTTTCTTTAAAGGATCTGTAATGTCAAAAAGTATATTTTATATTTAGTAATTAGAAACCTGTCTCTTCATTACTTGTTCATGCAGTAGGTATTCATTGCTCATATCTGCTCTACCAGATCCTGTCCTGGGGGAAAAAAGCAAACCAATCAATCATTTTGCCTTCATGGAAATTACAATGCATAAAATATAAAGTATGTCTGATGGTGATAAGCATCAGAGGTAGAAATAAAGCAGAGAAGAAAAGTAATGATAATTATGTGGGCGTGAAACAGGAGTGGAACAGCATGGTAACATTTGTTTAGTGCCCTGAAGAGGCTGACATGTCAACTGTGCAACTGCTCGGGGGGAGACATGGCAGACAGAGGACATAGCAGGGGCCAGTGCCCTATTCAGACAAAATCAAGGTGCCAGGGGAGCGGGAGCACAATGAACAAGGGGAAGTAATAGGACATGAAGTCATAGAGGAAATGTGGGAGGTTGGCAAGTGGAAGCTTGGTAGGTCCTTGTGGACTGTAATGGGACTTGGTGGGAGGCATTGGGCAGTTTGAGCTGGGAGTGACATGATCTGACTTACATTTCCTGCAGACTGCTCTGGCCACTGACTTAATGTGAGACAATGCAGAAACAGATAGACCAGTAGTAGACTAGGAATAACTCAGGCAAGATATGGGTCAAGATTACGAGAGTGGAAATAGAGGGAAGCGGTCAGATTCTAGATATGTTTTCAAGGCTTAACTGATATGATGTTCCATCGGATTGAATACAAAGTACAAGAGGGGTGCCAAGAATGACTTCAAGATGTTGGCCTGGGTAGCAAGAAGGGTAGAGTTACTGCTTGCTCACGTGGGCAGAGCAAGTGCATATGTTTGCATGTTCCTATGTGTATCTAGTTGGGGTGGTGGTGGATTAGGTGATTAGGTTTGGATCTGATTAGATTGATGTGCTTGTTAAGTGTCTACTTTGATGATATCAAAATATTTAAAGAGATGATTCTGATGCCTAGGAGAGAAGTCTGTCAGGAGATATTAATCCATGTTGTTTCTGCTACATTATATTCAAATACCAAAGCCTGAAAAACATTGTTAACATATTAATTTGTATAACCAGTCTTAATTCTTTTGGCAATTTAACCTGGAGAATTGCTCAAGGCATGTATTAGAATGGCATACTTAAATGCTTCTGATTAAGATTATCAAATGAATAAAAGTATCCAGTGACTCTTTTTTAAGAACTTATTCATTATGGGAACCCATCTGTTAGCTCTGTAAGAGTGTGTAAGAAAGGCTCGACTCGAAGGCTGGCTCCATGACGGAAAAGGAGCTGTGCTTTGAGTCACTGGTGGCTCTTGACCAAACAAGGAGAGCAGTTCAGAGTTAAGTAAAATGCACTTGTGAAATTACATAGTTAATTCAATGAACTTGGGTAAAATTTGAAAATCCTGTTGGTGTGTTTCATAATGTATTCATAATGCCTAGATTGTTGCTTGGTACATAGTAGCAATAATTAGCAAATGCATATTTTAAGAATAAGTAAAAGACCCTGAGTGGTGCAGTTTAGTAAAGCACAAATTTGTAGATTCTATGTATGAGATATATATGGTCAAACAGCTATTCTCATTTTAATGTTGGATACAATATTTTATAATAAAAGTGAATTATGGGTTCTACTTTAAGATTTTTTCTTTCTGTGATATTTTAGGTTTGGCTGACCTTGGCAGATCAATATTTGCACAGTATATCCATTGATTGGGACAAAACCATGCGCTTCACTTTCAATGAGAGGAGTAATCCTGACGATGACTCGATGGGAATTCAGATAGTCAAGGTAATGTCCCTAAACTTAGCCCAAGTTCCTAACATGGAAGGACCAGGCTAAGAGCTGTGTGTTTCCTGAGCAGAGGATCAAGTGATTTCTACATTATGGTATGAATGTTAACTTTTTGTGTGTGTGTTTTTGCTGTAGTTATTGGTTGACAGCTTTTAAAAAAGATTTATTTTATTTATGTGTAAGATAGAGTTACAGAGAGAGAAGGGAGAGACAGACATGCAACATACACACACACACACACACACACACACACACACACACACACACACACATACACACACAGAGAAAGAGAGAGAGAGAATGAATTTTTTCATCCACTGGTTTATTCCTTAAATGGCTGCAGTGGCAAGGGCTAGGGTAGACCCTAGGAGCTTGGTGATGGCTGGGACTCAAGCACTGGGCCATCTTTTACTGCTTTTCTAGGCACATTATCAAGGACTTGAATTGAAAGTGGATAAGTTGAACTGGCATTATGCAATGTCTGTGTTATTCATATGAATTGTTGGCATTACAGCTCTTAACCCACTGTGACTACTATGCCAGCCCTATTAATGGGGTTTTTTTTTTGGGAAACCTTGACTATGAATTCCTCTTCATCTTAAATGTTGCCAACAAGTTGAAAATGTGAGTGAGTTTCCCCTCATATTCAGTTTATCTTCTTCATATGATAGGAGATTCCTCTTTTCTCCTTTGGTTGGGTCGATGCTGCCAGCTGGATTTTGACATAAAAGTCACCAAGACAGTCAAAGTTAACTATACTTTGTACTAGAATCATTTGACTCTTATTAGAGTCTTTGATCATTTCTTAACTATCCATTTTTAATGGCATTTAAGTTGACTGATGAATCTGCTGTAAGCCAAATGGATCAATCCAGCTGTGGAGGCAGCTGTGGTTCACCTGCCTGGAATATCACAGTTGTTTAGATCCTAGTGCTAAAGGGGATGCTAATTCCACTAAATCCCAGTATTGGCTTCTTATGTACAGCTCTAGAACATGGTTTTATATAAATACATTGAAGTGTAGTGCTAAGCTAGTTTTATTTGAGATGCAGAAAAAGGAAAATGAGGGTGGGGGGTGGGGAGAGAGAGAGACACCCGAGCAAGAAGTGTGCAGGTGAGCATGGGTACTGCCAAGGTGCCTGCAGTGGCCGAGGCTGGCCTGGGTCCAGGTCCATGTGAATGAGCTTTTGATACTGCCTCCCAGGGTCTGTGTTGGTGACAAGTTAGAGCTGGGAATTGACCTCAGAACTCCTGTGTGGAATGAAGAAATCTCAATGGCTAGGTGAAACACCCATTCCCAAATGGAATTTTATTTTATTTCCCTTCTATTTTATTTTTAATTTTATGATACATTTCCATAGGCTTTGGGATTTCCCTTACTCCTTTCTCAGATTCCCTCTCCTCAACTTATTTCCCCTATATTATTACAATGGTATAGATCTTCATAAGTAGTCATAAATCCATCATTCTGCTATTGAAGTGTATCTTGACATTGCAGGTACAGACAATAGCAGACAGTCCAGCATCCTATTGCCAAGATACATCCAGCAGTTTTACCAGATGGAATTAAAAAAGATTTATTTTATTTTTGTTGGAAAGTCAGATATACAGTGAGGAGGAGAGACAGAGGAAGGTCTTCTGTCCATTGATTCACTCTCCAAGTGGCCGCAATGGCTGGAGCTGAGCCAGGAGCCTCTTCTGGGTCTCATGTGGGTGCAAGGTCCCAAGGCTTTGGACCATCCTCGATTGCTTTCCCAGGCCACAAGCAGGGAGCTGGAAGGGCAGTAGTGCTGCCAGAATTAGAACTGGCACCCATATGGGATCCCAGAGGACTTTAGCCACTAAGTTACCATGCTGTACCCATACCAGACGGAATTTTAAAAGTAAAGTTGTTTCATCCAAATTTTGGCCATCACAAAATGGCGATTTTATTGAAAAGGGCACGTTTGAAGACTTTTTAAAGGTGAGAGTGCTAAATAAAATGAGCCACTTTCTCATCTAACTTTTGTTTCGGACAGCTGCTGAATTTTGAGCATTTATGTTGAACGCTAAAAAGCTTTTGCACTGTCCATGTTTCAGCTATTCATGGGGAATTGTGGGATGTTTCACAGAGATGAAGTATTTCGTATGTGAAACGTTTTGTTTGACTTGCAAATTGAGGCAATATACATTTTTATAGCAATCATGTTAAAGTAATTTTCTAATTGTAGTGAGTGCTTTGTCAGTGAAATGGCTCTAGCTCATGAAGACCATAGTGTCTCCTCTGTAATTAAGTTGTAGCTATTACCTTGATTGTATATGAAGATACAGCAAAGATTTTTGTCATTCTTTATTTGAAAGGCAGATGGAGAGATAGCTGTGTAGGGAGAGCTCCCATTCTCTGGGTGACTCCTGCAGTAGCAGCAGTACATGGAGGTGGCTCAAGCTGAAGTAAGAGCCTGAGACTCCAGCTGAGTCTCCTGCTGGCTTGGCAGGTGCTTGCACCATCCCCTATGGCCTCTCGGTGTATTCATTAATAGGAAGCTGGAACTGGAAGGAGAACCAAGACTTGAACTCTGGTGCTCTGCTGGGGGATCCAAGCATCTCCTGAGTGGCATCCTTTCAGTTTGGTGAAAGTCTGCCCTTACTTTTGTCCTTCTCACACTAATTTGTAAAACAATTTGAATAGGTTTTGTTTTTGTCTTAGACAAATGATTTTTATGTGAGAAGTACAAATTGTATTTTGTTTTTGGTATTTTGGTTTTATTATTTAAGGTTCTGCTGGCTAAGTTGTGTTTTAGAGAAGGGAATAATGTTAGATTCTTATCCATGTGTTGAAAGGACTTTGATTGAAACATTCAAGCAATTCCAAATTGTTTTTTTTTTTTTTTGTAATTGAATCACCTTAGTAATAATGTAATGAAATTCTTGAGGCAGCATGACTTTTAATGAATTGAGGTTTGTTTTGGCTCATGGATCTGGAGGCACACTATTGAAGATCCAGTGGGCTCTACGGAGTCAGCCTGTGGTTGATGCCTTTCTCACTCGCAGGGTCCCAAGGTGGCGCGGAGCAGCTCTTGGCAGAAATGGGAAGGGCCCTTAACTGTCTGCATCTGTGTGTCTGTATCTGTCATTTCCTATAGAGCCACCACAGTTCAACCATGGGAGCTGCATGAGTGAACATGCTGCTTAAACCACATCATGCATCCTGGAACTGTTTTCATGGAAAACTTACCCGAGAATCTCCTTGACCATCTCTTTAAGAAAGCATATTTTGAAAACATTAGGAAAAAGAAAACTGAAAGAAAAGGTTAAAATTAATGAAAAACTTTTTACTGAAATACTTTAAAAACCTATTAATACAAAGAGATTAGATTTCACAAATTTTCTGGATATAATTCTAAGAATATAAGAAAACATCGTTTAAACACTTAGTGCATGTGGATAATTTTGCTCTATTTCGTGGTGAGGCAGAGAAATATCTAACACTATTTTTTTTGGGAGAGAGTATTTGAAATCCTGTGTGTAAGTTTTGTTTTTTTCCACTGCAGGATCTTCATCGTACAGGCTGTAGCTCTTACTGTGGCCAGGAGGCAGAGCAGGACAGGGTTGTGTTGAAGCGAGTGCTGCTAGCCTATGCCCGGTGGAACAAAAATGTTGGGTACTGCCAAGGCTTTAACATCCTGGCTGCGTTAATTCTGGAGGTCATGGAAGGCAATGAAGGCGACGCACTGAAAGTGAGTATCAGGCCGTTGCCAAGGTAACAGAAGTTCTTCTGGAAGTCAGAGACCCTTTTCTGCTCCTGGGTGCCCCAGCCCATTCCACCATGTCTGTTACACCTTTGTAGCTACCCGTGATAGTATTTCTCCCAAGTTACGGTCAAAGCAAGTGACAGACTCATGGAGCTGCCAACTGGGAGGAGATATGTTTTTATTCTAAGACAAGACATATTTTAAGTTAGATGTTAGTTGCATTAATTATTCATTGCTCTGTAGCAAATTTGCTGCTCAAAAGAGCAAACCTGTGTATTCTCACAGTGTTTGAGTCTGCTGACTCTAGGTCCAATCACTGCAGCCTTGGAGTTGTTGGCTGGGGTGTGGTCTCATCTGAAGGTTGTACTTCAGACAAGGGAGGCTTTGTTGTCGGGATTGTTTTTCTGACTGTTGACTAATGACAAGATTGAATTCCTCACAGGTTGTTGGAATGAAGTGGCTGCTCCTTTTGGAGTGCTGTTTCCTGGAGGTCTTCTTTTTTTAAAAAAATTATGTATTTTTATTGGAAAGGCAGAGAGAAAGATCTTCCATGTTTCATTTCCTAAAATGGTTGGAACTGAGCTGATCTGAAGCCAGGAACCAGGAACTTTTGGGTCTTCCTTGTGGGTGCAGGGTTCCAAGGCTTTGGGCCACCCTCTGCTGCTTTCTCAGGCCACAAGCAGAGAGCTGGATAGGAAGTCAAACAACCGAGACACAAACCAGTGCCCATATGGGATCCAGGTGATTGGAGGTGGAGGTTTCCCCAGTTGAGCCATTGCACTGGGCTCAGGCCTCTTTGATGACTTGATGTGTGGGCTCTTCCATCACGGCCTGGTGGCTTCCATCCCTGAGAGAGTGAGAGTAGAAGAGACCAACCAAGGCAAAGCATGTAAGTTACAGATTTGTGTCTTGTTGTTTGACATCAGCCATCAAGTCTGGTTCCTTTTCAAGAGGAAAGGATTACACAGAGATGTGACTACCATGGGGTGGGAGTCCCAGGGGTCTTGTGAGAAATCATTCACTATAGCAGTTGAACTTAATTCTGGTTGCATTGTCTGATTGGCCATATCTTTGATACAAAGTGTAGAGGAAGAAGGCTGAGAGTGTATGTGGAAGGTGTTTGCATGGAAAAAAGTGTTGGAAATGAGTTATAATGTTTTACCCTTGGATGGCTTGGATCCCTGTTAAAAATTCTCACACTTTGAGGTGGGTTGATACCTATTTAAGCTTAGTTGTCTGAATGTAACTCAGTAAGTCACCAGAAATAGAAGCTTGGAAGCTTGTAAACGAGGAGGGTGGCCCTTGCTCTATTTACTGAGCACACTGTGAGGTTCCCAATTCATATCTGAGGCTTTAAACTGTTGTTGATTGCAGTGCTTATGATAGATGAGGTGCATATTAAGCCTTTATGTTCAAGACCTTTCCTTGCCCAACTCTGTGACTGAATAGTGCTGTTCTCAATCACTGACTAATATGGCCTGGAAGAATAAACAGGTGCTCCTCTTGGCATTATGCTCTCTGTTGTGGACCTAGTTAATAACCAGCCTGACATGATCTAAATCTGCAATTACCTTTTCACTTTTTTCATTCATGTGTTTGAGGAAACTATTTTTAAGTTCCTTGCTCATCAAATAAGGGGGAGTGACAAATACATGACTTTGTTAAACACTTTGGTTTATTCAATCCACCAGCCCTAGTTACCACTCCCCCCACTGCCCCTCAGCTGTGACTTGCCTGACTATAAAATAGAACATGTTCTATTGAATAGTTGGAATAAGTGGTTCAGATTAAGGGGTGGGTTAGGGAAGTTTGGAGAAGAAAATGTACATGTCAATCAAATTGTGAAAGAGCACAGCAATTTAGGAAACGAAAACTTCTCTTAAGGAGATATTAGGTAAAGCTGAGGTTATTTTTATTTCTGCTCCAAGAAAATGAACCCTATGCAATGAGATGACATCATCCTCATTTGAGAAAGTGTAGATCTTGTGGTTAGGCGTTTAATATGTAGAAGAAGGTCAGGTTCATAATGAAACTGTTCTTAAGCTAAGTAAAATATGGGTCCCAGTGTTTTTTCAGCTCTTTTGGTCTCTGTAAGTCATAATTACTAGTTCATATATAACTTTTAGGGGTAAGTGAGCCATTTTCATTACTTCACAGCACTTACTGCCTTTTTTTTTTTTTAGCAACTAACATTCTTAGCAACTAACATTAAAATGTAAATCTTTTTGTCTTTTAAAAAAAGGAATAATATTTGACCTTTGAAATTCGTGAGTGGGTGGAACGAGTGAGCTGACATCGGATTTTGAGATGACAACAGACAAAATTTCGTTGTGTCACAAAAAATACAAGGATAACTTTTTGTGTTTTTTTTTTTAAATGTAATTTTGAGAAATTGTAAGTTCTTAATAAAGACATTGACTTTTGGGTACTGTATAACTTGTTTTTAGATGCAGAGTACGATAAATGACAGATTGTTTTCTTAAATTTGTCTTAATGTTCCTGAAAATCCCTCTTGTCTTGACCGTGGAGTGGTAGGTCTTCATCAGGGCACCCCACCCCTGCTACCTCCCCAACCCCTGCTCTGCCACACCCCTCCCTCCACACAGACTAAATAAAAATTCCCCCAAAAGTTTGTGGACCAGTGGAGTTAAAAGATAAATTAATGTTAGTGCATAGTGTCCAAGTGTAGTCTTTTTCATAGCACACATTTTCCAAGAAGTTTTTGAAGAACTTGCCATGTTTCTTTTCCTGTTGCTGAGTTTGTGCTTTCAAAGCTCCCATCCACTCATTAACTTCCACGATGGCTAGGACTGGCCTGATGCCAAAGTTGGGAGCCATAGCCAGGAATGCAATCTTGTCCCCCAGGGAGGTGACATGGGCCAGTTACTGGAGGCATCCCTTGTTCCTTAGGATCTGAATTAGCAGGAAGCCAGAGGCAGCCACTGGAGTAACATGCTCTCATAAGAGTTGTGGGCATCTGCAACACCAGAAGTGCAGTGGCTGGACCTCCCTGGAAAATTCCATCTTAACAACAGAAGATTAAGTAAGGCTCCTTGGACTTGCCCATGAATGGTTCCTCAACAAGACTGGGAGACTTTTTTTCAAATAGAACTTTAAAGTATCCTAAGAATCAAAAACAGGAGACAATGATTTTTTAAAAAAAGACGTATTTATTTATTTATAGTGGAAAGGCAGAGTTATTCAGAGAGGAGAGACAGAGAGAGGTCTGCTATCCATTGGATCACTCTGCAAATGGCTGGAACAGCCAGAACTGATCCAAAGGCAGCAGCTGCTTCTGGTTCTCCCATGTGGGTGTAGGGTCCCAAGGACTTGGGCCATCTGCACTGCTTTCCTAGGCCATCAGCAGCAGGTGGAAGCAGTGGGACACTGACACCTCTACAGGATGCAGGGAGAGGTGTAGGCTGTTGTTTTTTCAGCATATCCAGATAGATATGATTTGTTCCTTAATTTTGTTTTTCTGGTGCTCTGTGGAGTGAGCTAATTCTTTCCAGAGCTGGTTATAGATGTAGCATGCATGTTCACAGAGCAACGAACAGGGATTGACATCCAGAAGGTTGTTTGTATTTTCCTGGGTCATTTTTGTGGTTCTTGACATTTGAGAAAAGGTAACATAAATAGAAGAATAAAATTAAAATAGCAATTTGAAAGTCTTATGTGACAATCATATGAAAGAAACATAAGTATTGAAAAAGGGCCATTTGTTCAAACAAAACATAGTTGCATTTTCCCAAGAAAGGAAAGGTGAGTGAAAGGCTAGTACCAGTTGTTCTGTTTACCCATGTTGATGGAAGTGATTTGGAGGCCTGCCTCGGCTGTTGTGTGTGGGGGTTAGCTTTTGGTTTCTGTGCTGAGATGGTCAAACTGCTGATCTCAAGGAGGGAGCATGGAGACTTGCCGGCTGCTGAATGCTTTGCACCCAGAGCCGCATGAGGTGGGCTCAGGTCGTCTGAATTCCAGAGAGCAGCAGACTGTGGGTCTGAGTGAGTTACATGATGCTGCTGCTTATTCTGCACTTGGGGTGTAGATGAACCTTAAAATCCAAAACATTTGGTTTCAGCACGTGTAAAGGATGAGCTTTGGCTGACTGTGTTCTCTCTATTTGAATATGTTCTTTCTATTTAGGATATGTTGGGATCATGGTTTACACAAAGCTGTCTTTTTCTTTGTTTTTTTTTTTCTTCAGATCATGATTTACCTTATTGATAAAGTGCTTCCTGAAAGCTACTTTGTCAATAATCTCCAGGCTTTGTCTGTGGATATGGCCGTCTTCAGAGACCTCTTGAGATTGAAGCTCCCGGAGTTGTCACAGCATTTGGATATGCTGCAGAAAACTGCGAACAAAGAAAGTGGAGGTAAGTGATGGTTCAGTGCTATTCCTCCTTTGAAAATGTCTCACCCTTCCCATTCACCATATGGATGAGCCTAAACTTTAAATACAGGTTTTCAGGTATTTATTGGTAAGAATGTTGTGCAGCTCCATGCTCAGATTTCTAGAAGACCAAACCAAAAAGCGAAAATGTAGGGTCATATATGGAACCAGTAGTCTAAACCTTTCACAGGTTACCAGATTAACTGTTGAAATGACATGTTGTCTTCTATGTATTGCATAGGACACTCTCTTACTAGACAGCTAAGCCACCATAGCTGTCTAGTAATACATACACAATATGCACGCAACTGCCCACCATTCAGATGATTCTTGTTAAGGCTATCTGTAGCTGGCTGGCTCCCTTCCCAAGTCTGAAAAGTCATGGTTCACTCACATGGCACGAGAGTCATTGTTTGCTTTTGCTTTCCCTCTTATGACTAGATGAGCCAACACCCAAGTGAGCATCTCCGTCAACCATGGACATTTGAGAGGTGAACCAGCAAGTGCAGCTTTCTCGTCTGTTGTTCCCTCTCAGATAAATTAGGGAAATAATTTAAAATATTCCTATGTTCCCTGTAAATGATTACTAGATCCTTTGTAGAAAATGCATTCCCAGCCAAGTCTGACCTCACACTGTTAAATCTGCAAACATAGTATAAAACATTTTGAAGATTTAGTCTGCACGTAGGTGTCTCTAAGCATTTCCTTCTTGGTCATTTGAAGGATCTTTTTGTTTGATCTGGTGTGCACGGAAACAGTGCTCCTGAATGGATTTCATGACCTTTCTTCCAAGAAGACCAATCTTGCTTGTTCCATGCTGGCCACACTTCATTGGGCTAGGTGGTTTTCCTTAAGCAGCTTGTGCTTGGCTGTGAGAACAACCTCAGAATCTAACCTCTGAGCAAAGAAATTTGGGTGATTTGTCTCCCTGACTGTAATTTGGAGGGAGGATCAGTCCAATTACCTAATTTAAAAATTTCATTAAAACTTAGCTATGTTGTTAGTGAGTGCTATCTTGTTAGAAATATCAGAAATTTCAAAATGTGTCAAGTCCCAGCTCTTTAAGCAGATTTAGTTAAAAGCGTTTTTAAACTTAATTGTTGTTCGTAATCTATAAATATTCCAGGGTTTTCCATCTGTCTATTAGTGATTCCTGCTTTAATTCCATTGTGGCCTGTTGCTTAAGTATAATTTAACAATAGGTAATTTATAATGATCAGTTATATTCTTTTCAGTAGTATTTGAGTAAAATGGGTTTTATAAGATTTTCAGAAAATCTAGTAGTTTTTGTTTTTCTTTTACACGTTTCTAGTTTAAAAAATTAATTTGCTTGAAAGGGATACACACATCCCATAGATCTTCCATCTGCATGTTCATTTGTCAAATGCTTTGCCAACCATGGTTGAGCCATGGTGAAGCCAGAAGCCTGGAATCCAGGTCTGCCATATGGGTACCAAGGACCCAAGTACAAGAAACATCACTGCTACCTCCCAGCGTGTGTGTTAACAAAATTCTTGAATTGGACGTGAGCCGTGACTCGAATCCATGTGCTTTGATACAGGATTTCAGTATCTCAAGTCACTGCTACTCCTTATTTTAATGAAAACTTTTATGATTCACACATGGTTGGTATTTGCTTTTGAGACACTAATACTTTGTCTTAATCCTGTCTTTGGTGAAGCAAACTTTCTCTTCAATTTTCAACATTCTACAGTAGGTAAATCCAAAATAAGTTTAAGATTTCTAGAGAGCCATAAAGAATCTGTGAAATGCATGTCACTGAGATTGTTATTCAGTGCATTTGTGTTCTTCCAGAAGCAGAAAGCACCAGCACTTAGATGAAGAAATCGGTCAGGAAGCGTAGCCCCTTTGGATGGAAGGGGTTACTTACAGAGCAGATCATCATTCTGAGGATTCACACGTGTGCTTTGTTTCAGGTGGATACGAGCCGCCACTTACGAACGTCTTCACCATGCAGTGGTTTCTGACTCTGTTCGCCACATGCCTCCCTAATCACACAGTGTTAAAGATTTGGGACTCAGTGTTCTTTGAAGGATCAGAAATCATCCTAAGGGTGGCACTGGCTATCTGGGCAAAATTGGGAGAGTAAGTGATTTCCCTGCTCTCTGTGCCTTGTTCTGTTCTGTGGTGGTGACCACTTTTGCACTATACTTGCAAGGCTGTGAAATTTACAGAGGAGTAGGAGAGAAAGTTGTGATCTTTGTTCAGTTGCTTTAGCCTTTTGGGGTCTCAGCTGGTGCATCCTTGACTTTAAGAACAGGTGCAGTGTGTGGATGTGACTTCCTTAGGTTGGTGGGTTCTCTTCCCCTACTTTAAACCCTCCCTCCCTAAAGATCTTGCTTGTGTCCTGGCTGGTTCATTGTATCTCTCAGGACATTTGTTGGGATGATGGAGAAGAACTTATGTGGAAGAGAAAGGGGAAGAGCTAGAGATAATTAGTATCTCCATTTGGATTATACTTGAGTCTTTGTTATTTGTTTTGTTCTGCTTTTTTGGTGTGTGATAAAATTAATGAGGTAACTTGTTTAAGATATCCAGCATGGTATTAGGGACACAGTCAGTAGATCATAAGAAACTTTGCCACAACTTAATTCTGTATTGAAATCTTTTATGCCAAAACATTGCCACATATTTTTTTTTTACATCTTTAACAGTAGCAGAGGTGAAAAAGATAGGCTTTCTCATTCATCTGTAATACAATGTTACATTAAAGTTTTATCTTTTGGGTACTGTAAGAAAGAAGTGGGGTAGGCTTTTGGTCTCATGGTTAAAACCCCATTGAGATGCCTGAGTTCTGCACTGGAGTGTCTGGGTTTTTATACTAATCTTTGACCCTGACTCCATCTTCCTGTTAATGCGAAGGAAGCAGTGATTGCTCAAGTGATTTTGTCTCTGTCACCCATGAGGGAGACCTGGATTCAGTTCTAGGCTCCTGGCTTCAGCCCTGGTGTAGCCTGGCTGTCAGGGGCATTTGTGGAATGAACCTGTAGGTGTGTTCATTCCCCTAGAGAGAGGGCCTAGCTCAGTGGTGTAGAACACTAAACCTGTACTTAGGGTGCCAGCATCCTATTTAGGTGTTGGTTTGTGTCTTGGCTACTCCACATGTGACCCAGCTCCCTGCTTCTAGCCTGGGAAAGCAGTGGAGGAAGGTTCAAGGTCTTGGTCCCTTGCATCCATGTGGGAGACCTGGAAGAAGCTCCTGGTTCCTGGCTTTGAATCAGTTCAGCTCTGGCTATTGCTACAATTTGGGGAGGTGAACCAGTGGATGGAAGACCTCTCTCCTTCTCTGTTTTTAAAATCTGCTTGTCAAAATAAAAATGAATACATCTTACAAAAAAAGAAGCAGAGAGGGTTAAATATTTCTGTATTAGAGCTATGAGTGATATGTTAGGAAGCTAATAAATTATGGATAATGTTTTGTTTAGAAAGCCTTTGCATTACCTCTTTATTTGTGACAACTTGTTCCTGGGAGACTTTTAGTGTTTTTAACAGTTTTGCAAACAAAACACAAAGATCTGTGTCTTTGGGATGCTTTTTGTTCCTTACCAGCTTAAAGAACATATTTCCAAATTTCATCTCAAACATTGTTTTTTCTTCCTCACCTCACTGTCTCTCCCCCTGCTGCAAACCCACTCCAGCATCAACTTAGCCAGTTTTCATTGCCCACATGCTATTTTGTATCTTTGTAATAATTCCTTAATAATTATTTCATTTATTTGTTTATTTGATGTTGCCATGGGGTTTGAATGCACCCCATAGCTTGGGGTTTCTTCACCTCAGTTTTTGTTGGTTGACTCTATGCAGCAGTGTATGTAAAAGCAGATGTTCTCTGGCTTTGGGCAAACAGAGTAATCCTGCAATAGGAAGAACTTCATGATAGGTGAAATGGAAATACCTGGTGCTGTTTGCTATGGATATTCTCCGTCCCATCCCTTCTGCAGAAGAAAGACCAACCTGCCACAGAAAGTACAGGAGAAAGATTGTTTACATGCTAAACTGTATACAAGAAACAGAATGAAATCTACACCAAGGAGTAGGGCCCTGAGAATTCAGGACGTTTTGCTTATGAAGCATCCTGTAGAAGGATGAAATATGAGTTGCAGTTCTTGCTATTCTTTCCCTTCTACTGTACTTTGGTTTCTGCCCATTAATACGAACTAGTTGTAGATTAACACTGACAGATTCCCTGTGTAACTGTGTGGCTGTGTAACTGATGGAGCTGTATGGGAAAGATGTGGCTTTTTTTTTTAATGTCATTGTTTGAAAGTGTTGGAGAGGGAAGGAGGGAGGGACAGCTCTTCCATACACTACTTTATTCTCCAAATGGCTGGGATGGCCAGGGCTAGCCTGGACTCAAGCCAGGAGCCTGGAATTAGTTCCATTCTGGTTTCCCGTGTGGATATCAGGGGCCCACATACATGGCGTGTCTTCTGCATTCCCGAATACATTACCAGAGAGCGGGATGGGAAATAGAACAAGCAAGGCTTGAATAAACACTCATATGGGTTGCCAGCATTGCAGGTGGCAGCTTAACAAGCTGTACTACAATGCTAGCCACAAGATGCAAGTCATTCTATAGCAAGTGCCTCTATATTAGTTCTGTTTGGAATTTTTATCTTTTCACTGCACACAGCAGTATGAGTTTAGCCCAGGATTTTTGTTTTTTATTTTATTGATTTTTTTATCATATTAATTTGATGGCAAGAGACAGTGTATCCTCTGCGTATACACCACCCACCTGTTGTGCAGCACACATACTCTCAGATAAGCCTTTTGTTTGTCCTGTCTTCCTGCAGGCAGATAGAATGCTGTGAAACAGCAGACGAGTTCTATAGCACCATGGGGCGTCTTACCCAGGAGATGCTGGAGAATGATCTTCTGCAGAGCCATGAACTGATGCAGGTGAGTGGACAAAGAGGGCTTGCCGTGCCTCAGGGAACCCCATGGCCATAGCAAAAGCCAGTTTTTTTTTCTTAAGAAGTGCCATTGGCCACTCTTCAGGTGTTGTTGTTCAAGGGACCAACAGCCTGTATATGATTTGATAAGAATCTATATCAAAAGAGAAAGGAAGAATTGCCTAACTTGCATTGGTTGTGGCTTTTATTCAAACCATGTAGCTGAAACATTAGTGGGTGTGATATAAAAATAAATGGAAAAAAAAAGTAAAAGTAAATTGCGCTCACTAGGCCCTTATTCTGAATCAGATTTCTCACCTTTTTGAAGGAGGACAAGTGGAGTGAAATAATTATTTTGGGGAATGGAATTATTCAAAATAAAAGAGGAACTGAATCAATGACTTTATTTTGTTGACATTTTCATCTCAGGATGTTACATATAAGCTATAAACTTTGTTATGAAATACTTGAAGGGCTTGGCTATTTTTTTGGCAGGCCAAAGTAGTCTCCCAATATCATGTTTAAGAAGTCATCAAGCTTGACAGTTTGGGAAAGATGCATCATTCATCAATGCTCGCCCTTACTAGGTTCTGCAGTATAATTTGTCTTCATTCGCTTCCAGTGATTTTACTATTTCTATTGTTCCTTCTACCACTGAACAGCTGTGGGTGATGCCCAAGATTGTCCCTGGAGCTTCTTCCCTTTGTAATTTCTTTCTCCTTTTTCTTCATTTCAGTTTTGACATTTGTGTTGAGTTTCATTCTGCTCTGATGCAGTCAGCATTTCGCTGCTAGAATAGTTGTCCTCATTTCATCATTTCATTGTTCTGCACTGAAGCCTTCTATTTCCTTCATGCTACCTCCAGTAAATAAACTGTTTCATCCTCATCTACTAGGTTTGAATTAGCTTCTACAAGATTTTACTGAGCATCTCTAGATGTCTGGCACCATGGAAAGTACTAAGGATGCAAAAGAAAATAGAACATGGGTCTATTCTGAGGGAGCTTATAGTCTCTTACAATGCAGATGTAGTCTCCTCCTTGTCTGTGGGAAAGTGCACCTAGAGAGGTGTTCACAGGGGCTAGGGACTGAGTGAAAAAGACAACCTAAGGCAGTTCTGGAGTCAAGGATTGGGATGGAAGAGATAAGGGAGAGGAAGTCAAGGAAAGTTTTCTTTTTTCTTTTTTTTTTTTAGATTTATTTTTGTTATTTTTTTTTTATTGGAAAGGCAGATATACAGAGAGGAAAGACAGAGAGGAAGATCTTCCGTCCGATGATTCACTTCCCAAGTGAGCGCAATGGCCAGTGCTATGCCGATCCCAAGCCAGGAGCCTCTTCTGGGTCTCCCACGCGGGCGCAGTGTCCCAAAGCCTTGGGCCGTCCTCAACTGCCTTCCCGGGCCACAGGCAGGGAGCTGGAAGGGAAGCAGGGCTGCCGGGATAGATCCGGCGCCCATATGGGATCCCGGGCGTGCTAGGCGAGGACCTTAACCACTGCACCACCGCGCTGGGCCCAAGGAAAGTTTTCTTGAGAGAATGAATGTCTAGTTTTACCTTTGAAGATGAGCTGGCATTGGCTAGGCTGTATGTGTATGTTACATGTGTGTATATATACCTAGGTGTATAAACATGTAAGGATGTGTGTGTGGGAGGCAGTGGTGGAGAGCAGAGGGGTAGTGCGTGGTTGGGGGAGAGGTGTGAGCAAAGTCATAGTGATAAAATACTGTGTGGTGTGTGAGAGAAACCACAAGGCATTTACCAGTCAGGGACTGGGGCATGGGAGACCACAACCCATGGCAGAGAGCCCAGACTCTCTTAGGTTGGCAGTTGTGAAAGGATGCTTATTGTCATCCTAGGAATTCTGTATATGTACCTTTGGAAAGGCAAGAAGAGCTGTGAATGTGATTTTAAGAACAGGGTGGAAGTTGGTTGATTGTGTTTTATGCTAACTACCTGGACAGCCCTTCGAAGAAAGAAGGGTCAGGTCTTACAGTGGGAGGTCTTGGAGGAGGCAGTGAAGGGCAGAGACAGAACTGAACAGAAAAATACTTAGAGCTGAAGTCAGTGTGGCTTGGCCATGGGAAATGAATACAGGTATGAGGAAAGAAATGGGGCAGACAAGAACAGCTGACAAGTTTTTGGTTTAGGAGAAAGGGCAAGTATGAGGCAGGAGGAGAATGGGTTTGATTAGAGGCAGATTACATTGGGGATGTGCTTCGGCTATCTGTTCTCCATCTGTGTTAATCAGCTGTTCATTACCTTAAAATACCTGAGTGGTGCCACTTGGGAAGGCAGAAGGTTGATTTTTTTTCTGGCTTACAGTTCTGGAGATTTGCAGTCTACGACTGGGCATCCCCATTAGTCTGGTGATGTCTGGTGGACGGTGTGCAGGGGGTGAGCCAGGAAGCAGAAAAGCACAGGGAGCACACACTCCTCTACCCTCCTTGGCCTTTCCTTGTGGTTCAGCCAATTAGCAACCTAATGCAATCCAGTCTTTTTCCCAGAGACCCCACCTTTAGACATAATTGATTCAAGCTTCTGTTCTGTCAGTTGTTGGTGTTAAATCATTAAGTGTTAACGTAAGACTTTGTGTCTTAAACACTTGTGTAAGTTGGGGGGTGCCAAATCCTATTCAGACTGTAACACTACCTGTAGACATGCCTCTTCACAAACAGCAGTCATTGCACTGGTGCCAGCTCTAGTGCTGCCCAGGCCCTCTGTGGGCCATGGTTCCCCCAGGTACACCATCTGTGAAAAATCCTGTTGGCCCACTTGGGCACTGTTCAATCCCCTCTTTCCTACCCTTGCCCAGCCTTCGAAAGCTATCACTGTTGCTGCCTCCTCAACACTCTTTTGGTACTAAAGATTTCCAACAATTGATTTAATGCCAGTAGTTATTTGATATCGTATAGAATGTTTTCAAGTATATTAATCTGTTTTTTTCCTGAGGAGGTAGTGAATGCCTTAACAATAGGTTACACTTCATGACACCTGGCATAGTACCAAGAACAAATTGTTTAATGAATACACAGAATTGTAGGATATTAGATTTTAAAGCAGGGATTTTCAAATATGATTGTATGTGAAGCATCTCAGGACTGTGTTAAAATGCATATATTCAGGGTAAGCATTTGGCTTAGTATTTCAACGTTTTTTGAAATGACTACATACCATACTGAAAATTATGGACTCAAGCCCTGGCTCCTCCTGCAAATCCAGCTGCTTGTACACCCTGGGAGGCAGCAGCAGGTAATGACTCAAGCACTTGGACCTTTGCCACACACGTGGGAGACCTGGACGGTGTTCTAGTCCTGATACTGGCCTGGCCCAGCTGTAGCTATTATGTGCATAAGGGCAATGTGCCAGTAGAAGGGCAATCTCTCTGTCTCACTTTCCCTCTTAAAATGAATGAATGAATGAATACATAAATAAATAAGCAAGAAAATAAATGAATAAGTAAGTAAAAATGGAGATATTTGATTTATGGGTGATTCTAACACAGGTGGATGGGCTTTAGACAATGCTTAAATAGTGTCTTTTTTTTAAGATTTATTTATTTTTATTGGAAAGGCAGATATAGAGAGAGGAGGAGAGACAGAGAGGAAGATCTTCTGTCTGATGATTCACTCCTGAAGTGACTGCAATGGCCGATGCTATGCCGATCCAAAGCCAGGATCCAGGAACTTCTTCTGGGTCTCCCACACAGGTGCAGAGTCCCAAGGCTTTGGGCTGTCCTCAACTGCTTTCTCAGGCCACAAGCAGGGAGCTGGATGGGAAATGGAGCTGCCGGGATTAGAACCGGTGCCCAAATGGGATCCTGGGCGCATTCAAGGCAAGGACTTTAGCCGCTAGGCCACGCTGCCGGGCCCTAAATAGTGTCTTAAAACTAGCTTTACAGAGAGGAAACTAAATGTCAAAATTAGCCTGTTACAAATTGCTGAATTTTGAATCTGCCTGCAGTTGGCCTTGGCAGGACCAGACCAAAAGATTCCATAAGTTCTATTTGGCCCATAGATAGGATGTTCCTCACTCTGGAAACATTACCAGAAAGAATGAGAGCTACCAGGGAACCTCAGACAGTTAGTTCATTGGAAAATGCAATTTAAAGTTGAGTTTGGAGGGAGATATTCAGAAAAGTGGTTAAGCTGTCACTTGGGATAGGTAGGTTGCCTATGGTGTCAAGTCCTGGTTTTCTGGCCTCTGACTTAGCTTCCTGCTTATGTACATCCTGGAAGACAGTCAATGAGGACTCACTTATCACCGTGTAGGAGAGCCAGATTGAGTTATGGGCTCCTGGCTTTGGCTGTACTCAACCATGGCTGTTTTGGCCATTTGGGGAATGAACCAGGGGATGGAAGATTTGTCTCTCTTTTTCTGTCTTCCAAATAAAGAGAAAATAAATGAAAATGTTAAAACATGGATTAATTTTTTCTCTAAAAAATTTTGGGAATCTGGGCATAATTTTTTTAAAAAAATTTATTCTTGTTTGAAAGGCAGATCAGATTTTACAAAGCGAAAGAAAGACAGATTTTTTCAGCCACTGGTTCACTCCCCAAGTGGATACATCAACTGGAGCTAGGCCAATTCAAAGCCAGGAGCCAGGAGCCAGGAGCTTCTTCTGGGTTTCCCATGTGGGTGCAAGGTTCCAAGGCCTTTGGGCATCTTCTGCTTTCCTTGGCCACAAGCAGGGAGCTGGGTGGGAAGTGAGGCAGTTAGGACACGAATTGGCATTCACATGGGATTCTGGCGCTTGCAAGGCTAGAATTTAACCATTGAGCTAACATGCCAGACCCAAGCATTGTTTTTCGTAACACATACATTTCTGTGAAATTTTTGAAGACCCCCCCTCGTGTATTGAATGCTGTCTTTGTCCTCCAGGGGTTTCCAACCTCAGGTAGCAGGGAGAAGAACCGCTGTTTCACTCTGCTTTTAAGAGAATCCTGGAGGAGGCACTGCAGGCGGTGGGTTGACTGATCACATTCCACGCTGGTAGCATTGCCTCCTGTCAAGGCAGCATGTGGGTGAAGATGAACTAAGCCTAATTTTGTACAACTTCTCCTTTTATGTTTCTTGTAAGGCTTGTCAATAATGAAAAGGGAAATTGAATTCCTTTTCTGCTGTGCCTAAATATAAATGTTTTCGTAAGTGTATGTTGGTAGTGAAGACAGTAAATAGACTTGGCATCACAAAATGTTAAGGAAGGGAATGCAGCATGCCATTTCAAGCCACTGTTTTTTTTTCTGTATTCACCTTTTTATTATTATTTTTTAAAGTAATCTGATGACTCTGCTTTGACTATGGTAAAACATAAACCTATCAGCAATCTTGGAATGGCTCCAGATGAGAAATGGGGCCTGAATTTAAAATCTCGATTTCCAAGCCAAAGAGATAAAGGAATTGACTCTTTTGAGCCTTTCCCATTTCTTTCCTTTCTAAATGCCATACCCAGAAGCATAGACTAGAACCCTCATTTGCCTGCATCCTCCCTCTCTCCAACTTGGAGCTCACATCACTCGGTTCTTACTAGCAATGATCATTTTAAGTTCTTTTCAAATTGATGGCTTTTGAGCGTAGACCCTGAGAAATAGTGTATCTTATTCTCAGCAGGACTCTTGATTATCTCTGATGAATCCAACCCACCATATTTGTGAGTGGTTTACTGTAATCTGGAGGTAGCCCTCCTGGGTTACCAGGAGGTGTGCAGGCTGGTTAGAGCCAGAACTGTGAAGGACCCTCACATAGTGTTACCAAACTACAGGGTGAAACAGCAGCAGGATTAATTGCTTTCAGAGCCTGCCTTTCCCACACCACACAATATTAGACCTCTCCTAACCCTGAAAGGCAGAAAGGCAGTCCTGTTGAAATAAAAAAAATCCTGCTGTTGTCCTAGAAGGCATCATCAGAGTATTTGATTGACATTGTTGGAGCCATGAAAGTGTGATTAATACACATTTTTTTTTTTTTTGCTGATGAGTAAGAACATTAAAGATAGAAGAAATATGTGTGGAACATTATTAATAGAAATAAGAGAACCAACAAGATATTTTTTTCTTGCTGGTAGAATGGCATAGTTTAGAAATTCTGATGTAAATTTCAAATGATTTTCTCCATTTTTGTTTATAGTCTTTTTAACAGCTTGTGCTTTGCACCTGTTAACATTTTTTTTTTGTCTCTCCACCCCATCCCTCATCCCTGCTCCAACCCCTAAGAATAACAGCTAAAATTTTTCACGTAGAATTTATTCACAAATATTTGAAAGGGTGCTATCTTTGGAGAAAACAGTTGATCACAAGGTCATACACTTAATTTTATCCAGAAGACTGGCATTTAGTGTCTATGTAATTGTAAGATGAAGCCTTGAAAAATGAGCACCAAATATCAAGATTGTTTATGGGCTCTTTGTTTCATTTTGTTGCAAGAGTGACTGGAACTTGTGGATTTTTGAGTTAAACAACAGAAAGAAGTCAGCTGCCCCCTGTGTTTACCCAGCATTGTTGACCTGTTGGATTGCCCAGCCGCAACTGGGTTGATTTGAAGAATCACTATTTGGTTTGTCAGTATAGACTGAGTATTCCTTTTTTTTTTTAATGCTTGGGACCAGAAATATTTCATATTTGGAATATTTGTATATACATAAAGAAACATCTCAGGGGTGAGACACCAGTTTAAACATAAAATTCCTTTCTGTTTTATGTATGTGTTGTCCATGTAGTCTGTAATGTTGTACAGTATTTTTGGTGCTGCTGTGTTTTTGACCGTGACCTCTACATTGGTGTGGAATTTTCTACTTTTGACATTGTGTAAGTGCTCGAAAGTGTGGGTTTTTGCACATTTTACATTTCATGTTTTCAGACTAGCGTTACTCATGCTCATTTCTCAGTGGAAATTGAGGTGGATTCTCCCACCTGATGTGCAAGGAGCAGTCTGTGTCACTTCCCACTGCACTTCATGAAACTTTACTGTCTTTCCAAGACAGGGCCACCCTTTCAGGCATGCATTTCTTTCTTGTTTTTCAGACTGTTTATTCTATGGCTCCATTCCCTTTTCCACAACTTGCCGAGCTGAGGGAAAAGTACACCTACAACATCACACCATTCCCAGCCACGGTCAAGCCCACCTCAGTTTCTGGGTAAGGTTTTTCCTTTTTGTTGTCTGTGGAGAAGGACTTAACACCTTAATTTGTTGTTATAATTTGAATGTCTCTTTTCCAAAGGCTTTTATGTATGTAAATAGTTGAAAGAGCAAATAAAGAGGGAAAAGGAGAGAAAGATGAGAGAGGTATCTTTGTGTACTCTGGCTACTCCCTAAATGCCTAAACAGTGGTAGCTGGATCAGGCCTAAGCCAGGAACCTGGTACTCCACCTGCATTTCCCACTTGCGTGGAAGGCACTGAAGTGCTTGAGCCATGGCCTGCTGCCTCTAAGGTGTGCAGCAGCGGAAAGCTGAGTTTGGAAGCAGAGTAACTAGGGTTTGAATCAGGTGTCTCTGATAGGATGGGACATTTTCAGGGGGCGCTTAATGTGCCTCATCACAACACTGTCCCAATAAAAGTTTTTAAAAGTATACTTTCCAAAAAAGTTTGGAAAAGAAACTAGTAGGGAATTTTTTTAAAAAAAGATTTATTTATTTATTGGAAAGTCAGATATACAAAGGGGAGGAGAGACAGAAAGGAAGATCTTCTGTCCAATGATTCACTCCACAAGTGAGCACAACGGCCGATGCTATGCCGATCTGAAGCCAGGATCCAGGAACTTCTTCCGGGTCTCCCACACGGGTGCAGGGTCCCAAAGCTTTGGGCCATCCTTGACTGCTTTCTCAGGCCACAATCAGGGAGCTGGATGGGAAGTGGAGCTGCCGGGATTAGAACTGGTGCCCAAATGGGATCCCGGTGCGTTCAAGGCGAGGACTTTAGCCACTAGGCCACGCCACCGGGCCCAACTAGGGAATTTTTTAAGCAATCCTACCATACCACTTATGTAGAGATGTCAGATATTGAAACTGTCAAAAACCAGGAGCATGTGTTCATGCTGGAGATTAAGATGCTGGTTAAGGTGTTTTGTTCCTCTTGGCTTGCCTTTGTCCAAGTCCCTGCTCTGGCTCATGGTACGATAGTCTGCTAATGAAGACCCTGGAGAAGGTGGAGATGGTTCTAGCAAATTGGGTTTCCTGCTGCCAGTGTGGGAGACTTAGATTGAGTTTCTTGGTCTTAAATTTGTCCTCAGCCAGCAGCAGTTGCAGGAGTTCGGGAAGTGAATGAACAAATGAGGAAAAACTCAGTAATTGAAATATCATAGAGCTGGTACACAGATGCACATATGAACTGATTTTCAATATACTAAGGAGACTATCAGATTACAAACACAGTTCATTGGTTTGTGGGCAATTGGCATATCAAATCAAATAATGAAAAGATATACTTTTAGTAAATGATGGTAGATCATTCAGTTCTGATCTGGAGGTTGAGATTTCTTTTTTTAACCTATCAGATTGGCAGAAGTTCCAAAACTTGGTGATGTGTTCTGTTGATAAGGTTCAGGGAAACATGGTGTTAGACTTTGCTGATGGGAGGTAAACCATTTAGCTCTATTAAAAACAAATTTAATACCTATATCCTTTGATTCAGCAAGTCTATGCTTGTGAATTGACCTGCAGACATATTTACATGCAAAAGCACATATAGTCATCTTTCAATAACTGTTGGGATTGTCTGCAGGACTTCTCTCAGTCACCCAAATCCATAGGTGCTGTGGTTTTTACATAGAGCGTACACATATCCTCCCATATGCTCTAAGTCATCTTTAGACTACTCACAGTACCTCATACAATGTAAGTGTCGTGAAAAGGTCTGTTATATTGTTTAGGGAATAATGACAAGGAAAAAGCCTGTAATATTGAATACAAATACAATTAAAAATGTTTCCAGTCTATGGTTACTGAATCAGCAGACGTATAACCCGTTGATCCTGAGGGGCTGACCACCTGTACAAGGTTATTTATTGCAGTCTTGTTGGTAATTGGAAACTGTTCAAGTGAGCACTGTTAATAGCTTGTTTGCATAACATCGGCTACATGTACATTCAGTGTGGCTATAATAATGGAAAAAGAAACTCTGTGTGGATATAGAATGATTTCTTGTAGCCTAGCAGCAAGGCGCAGAGGAAGTGTAGTTCATCTGCTCTTCCACCAGAGGAGGAGAGAATCTGGGCTGGTGGTGTGTTGCATGTAAGCTGCTGCTAGCTCTGCCAGCATCAGGAGTGCTGAGTGGGATCCTGACCAGTCCACTTCCAATGCAGCTCTCTGATGCTACCCCTGCGAAAGCAGTAGGGAATGGTTGCTTTGGGCCCCTGTCACCCACCTGGATGGAGTTCTGGGCTCTTGGCTTCAGTCTGGGCCAGACAGATGTTAAAACCGTTTGGCTAATGAGGCAGTGGTGGGAAGATTTTCCTCTCTGTTTTTTGAAAGAGAACAAAATTATTCTATATCTTGACTATTTTGAATAGTCCTGTAGTAAACACGTGAGTACAAATATCTCTTTATGCAATGATTTTACTGTTTGGATGCATACCAAAATGCACTTGGAGAGAGTAGTTTCTGGTATTTCATCCTACAACGGGGAGACCAGTTCACAATCAAATATTTTATGAAGAACTGGAATGAAGCAGATTGAAGTTTCTGACTATAAAGTAATAAGATGGAAATGTTCAATGTACACTTGATAGATATAAAATAATCACCTCGAGCCCTTAGATATGTGTACAGTCATCACATGTTCATCAAAGCTAAAAAAATTTAGAGGAAGAAGATGATGTGAACATGTTTTGAGAAACAAGAATGTGTGAAAGTGGTAGTGGTGATCATTTCTGGGAATTAGGTGGGATAAAAACTGTTAGGGATGTAAGGAGAGGCTTTTTGTTACGTAAGTACTTGCATATAAGTTGTATTTATGGTATTCAAGTCATGTGGTTCTGGTACTCATTTTTTCAAACTGCTGCTGTTTGAATATTTCTCTTTCCTTTTGTGTTGGTGAAGGCGACATGGGAAGGCCCGAGACAGTGATGAGGAGTATGACCCAGATGATGAAGATGCTATTGCTAATGCAGTGGGGTGTCTTGGACCTTTCAGTGGGCTCCTTGCCCCTGAACTACAGAAGTTCCAAAAACAAATGAAAGGTAAAGAGTTGGTTCTCTATTTAGGTGGTCAGTGTGTCTTGGTTCCTTGTAATAAGGGTGTCATTATTGTGTTCTGTGTGTGCGTAACTTAGTAATTCCGTGAACCAATGACCCTTATGGAGGTCTGTGTTAAAAATACCTTCTCCTTAAATTTCTTGAGTGACAAGGAACTTGTTTCACAAGGCACTCTGCTGGATTCTTCCCTTTAGATCACGGTGACTTATTGCAGAGATAACTTACCGGTTGTACTAGTAGTTCTTCTCTTTGGGACAACAGCAACAACAACAAAAACCAAAAGAACACATCTATGTCCTCTTCTATCTGATATCTGTTCAAATCTTTTTTTAAGATTTACTTATTTTATTGGGAAGTTAGAGTTACAAGGAGAGAAGAGACTGAGACAGAAAAATATTTCATCCACTGGTTCACAGCCCAGATGGCTGCAATAGGTCGTGCTGGGTGATATACTGGATTATCATGTAATCAATCACCGTTTTATCCTGTTCCTTTTCACTGACCGTGTCTTTGGGTTTCTTCTTATGGTGGCTTTAGAGCCGAATGAGGAGCAAAGTCTGAAATCGAATAACATTGCAGAGCTGAGTCCAGGTGCAATCAATTCCTGTCGCAGTGAATACCACGCAGCTTTCAACAGTATGATGATGGAACGCATGACCACAGACATCAATGCATTGAAGCGGCAGTATTCTCGAATTAAAAAGAAGCAACAGCAGCAGGTCCACCAGGTGTACATCAGAGCAGGTAATGTGCTTCTTTGAGTCAATTTCAACTCTGTCTCAGCTTGTGGAGTAAAGAACCCCGAGGATGATGTTGGAAGATGGTCACTCGGCATCCAAAGGCACAGTTGATATGATATAGTAATAATTTAGTGGTTCATTTTCTCTTTTTATAAAAAATATTGATTTCAGAGAGAAAGGGACACACACACACATGCATTCATACCCACACATAGACACAGCCAGGAACAGGAATTCTATCCAGGTTTCCCCCATGGATTCAGAGGCCCAAGTATTTGGATCGTCTTCCATTGCATTTCCAGGTACAGTAGCAGAATTGGATGCAGCCAGAACTTGAACTGGCACCCACTTGAGATTTTGGTGTCACAGGAAGAAGCTTCATCAACTGTACCACAATGCTGGCCCTAGCAACTCACTCACTCTTAATTTTTTTTTTTGTCAGGCTCTAATGAAGAAAAAGACCATGGTTTCTTTTTAGGTCTCAACGAGCAGACACTCAGTGGTATTTAATGTGTCTTTACTGTGTGTGCTTGCAGAGGGATTTGGCAAATGATTATTTTGTTGCAAAGCCATGCAATCCTTGGACTTGAGAAATTTTGAAAATTCCTTGCATCTGCAAATAGGGTTTCATCATCAGTGCTCTAGTAAGTTAAGCTAAACACTAGTTATTTAGGTGATGACATAACAGATGTGACCAGAGAAAATGGAAACAAAAGTTGAATAAGCTGTGCTTCACTGGTGGAATTATACTAAGAACACAATGATAATGCACATGGAAATACTCTTTTCCAAGGATTGTTGAGCTATCTCACTGAAGAATCTGCCTTATTGTTAATATATGCTGATTTGGGAATTAATTGGGTTTTCTTGTTTAAAGTGAATGTCCTAATGAAAATGATATCTGTTCAAAATCAAAATATAAATTTGGTGTGATTAAGTGGCTTGGAGTATGTGACTGATTTTGCAGAAAAACTGAATTTATATTCTATATTAGATTTTCATTACTTTAAAATGCTTGAGAGGAACTTCTTGGGAAGGAAAAGATGTTTTGTCTGACAGCTAGGAGGCTCGCATATCAAGTTGGGACAGTCTAATTAGCCTGGCATCTGGTTGAGGCTGATAATGGCTGAATGTGTTCTGAAAGATCATGTGGTGAGCCAGGAAGTGGAGAAACATGGGAAGCACGCTTCTACCCTCTGTGGGCCCTACCATAGCAGCTTGACGAATCCAGTCACTTCCCAAAGGCCCTGTGTTCAGATGCTGTAACTGGATCAAGGACCCCCCCCCACTTAAATCCGTCAACCATTAACGTTAATCCATTACCTGTTAATGTAAGACTTGGGGGCTTACATGCCTTCATGAGTTTGGAGGAGCCCAGTCCTTCTACTCAGTCCGTCTCACCTTCCACTTATTAGGACTTATTGAAGATTCTTACTCTACCTGGATCATAAGTGAAGTATCACAAAAGCAACTGATCATGACAGCACTTTTAAGTTGCAAATACTCACATGCATTTCCTTGTTTTGCTCTTGAAGCAGGCCTATAGTAGAAGCAGGCTTACACAAATGGGCTTACCTCCCTTTAAATGGAAATGGTGGTTCAGGATGGCTCAGTGATTGTGCCTGGTCTGCAGCCATATTTACTGGTTGGCCAAGGCTAGAGCCCAGGTGTTGTGATTGCATATAGTTCTTTTTCAGCTACATAGAGCAGGTCTTGGTGGGGTGGTGAATAGCTGCTGCTTGGGTTCTGAATTGTCCGGTGACTTATACTGTAGCCATCAGTCAACAAATTTGTTTGCAGGTCAAATCCTGCCCACAACCTGTTTTTAGAAATAATGAAGTTTTATTGGTATATAAGTCCACTCATTTGTTTATGTATTATCAAAGGCTACATTTGCACTACAATCATTAAACTATTTACAATCCGATCCTTTACAGAATGGGTTTGTGCTCTGCAGTAGATCATGGCTTATGTAGTTCTTTTCAATTTTGTTGAGGTGGTTGCTTCAAGGCATTGTTCTAGAGCATGAGTTGTCAGATTTTAGTATACGTGCAGACTGAAGTGTTGAGTTTCTTACAAGCTTCTAGGAGTTTTTGATGTTGGATCATATTATAAGGAAAAAGTTTTTAGCATAGGATAGGGTTAGCAGCAAAAGTAGAGATGTTGAACTTGAACTAGAGGCAAAATCCCCAGCTTCTGAGACTTAATGGGAGCTGGTGAGGATGGTGTTTGTGGTACCAGGTTCCCAGGTTAGGGAAGACAACAAAGTGAAGCCCTTCAGAGCTGTTAGCTTCTGTTTTTGTGGAGTGTTTAATTGGAGATGTGTTTTGTTGGAAATAAGTTGGGATTTGAGAGTAAATGTGAGCTTATAGAAAAAGCAATGAAGCATGCTTATAGAAAGCAATGGCAAGCTGGATAGTCATTGAAAGGGAGGGGAGAGGGATTGGATAAGATTGTTCTGTAACCTTCAGGGCCCAGCCAGATAAGAAGTCATGAGGTTGAAGGACTTGATTTTAGAAAAGAGATTGTAAATTGTGGATTCAGGCTTTGGGTTTTGCAAGGAATCTGTGACAGAGGAATAGGTAGGCCTAGACTGTGGAGTTACTGCTGAGGCAGGAACATGGTTGGGGGAGAGTGGTGGTGAGTGAGCCAAAGAGAAGTCCCAAGGAGACTGAGAGATCAAGGAACTCAGAGTCTCTATGGCTCAGAACCAGGTTGCTTTAGACTGACAGCTTCAGAATTGAAGAAAGCAGTATTGGCATAACAAGGTTTAAGATGAAGCTGGGAAGGCTAAAGAGCCAAGAAAATAGGTACTGGGTGGGCCAGTCATAAAGGCAGTAAAGGAACTTTCTGTTCAGCCTGATTCAAAAAAGAGGCAGTTGCCCAAGTTCTCAGTCAAAACTGAGGTATTACTAGAGAAGGCGACAATAGCTGTGAAGGGCAGGAGGAAGTTCAGCTAGGTACCATGGACTTCAAAGAAAAGTATCCATCAAATTATGGGGGAACCTTCTCCCCACATCTGGGTGGTGTTTGTCATCCCAGGGTTTGTTAATACTTATGATGTATTTTTATGTATGTATGTTGATGTACCTTTAATAATTATGCTGTATTTAATGCTACATCATAAATGGGGGCCATAGTACTAGATGGGAAGCCATCTTGTGCATTGTGTCCTGGATAAGGGTGTCCTGGAGAAGGGTACCACTTATTTTTAATTTTGGCTATTATGGGCATTTCGGGGCATGCATAGCAAATGAAAACTCTGTCTTACTTGGTTTCTCTTTTCAAATATATATATTTTATATATATATTCCAGGTTCTAATTAATAATAGGGAGCCAGAGCCTCTGGGTTTTGATTTTTTTTTTTCTTGCTTAAAAAGTTTTATTTATTTGGCTCATGGCTGTGCCAGGCCCAAACCATGAGGCCCAGAGCTGCATCCAGGTCTTCTCTGTGTGGCAGGAGCCCAAGAACCTCTGCCATCTCCTATTGATTTCCCAGGCCGTTAGCAGGGAGCTGCATTGGAAGTGGAGAAGCTGAGATTCAAATTGGGCTTGTCGTAGGCTATCTGCAGCAACATAATTCCCCCTACCTTGTCCATCCCCCGTTTTTGAGTTTGTATGTGTTGGGGGAGGGGGCAGTTTTCTTGTGTTTTCTTTTATCTTCAGCCTACAGTCTTGTCTCTGAGGAGGAGGGAAGTGGTGGTGCAGACTGTAGGGTGGAATTCAGTTTGCTGGCTTCAGTCACATGATTCTGTCTGTGCTTGGGAAGGGCTCCGGGAGAATCTCTGGGTGATTCTCTTCTGGATGGGTGTGTTTCTTTGTGGTATATTTCACACAACCTTTCAACATTTCTTTCAGACAAAGGGCCCGTGACCAGCATTCTCCCATCTCAGGTAAACAACTCTCCAGTTATAAACCACCTCCTTTTAGGGAAAAAGATGAAAATGACCAACAGGGCCTCCAAGAATGCTGTCATTCACATTCCTGGTCACACAGGAGGCAAAATATCACCTGTTCCCTATGAAGACCTTAAGACGAAGCTCAACTCCCCGTGGCGAACGCACATCCGAGTCCACAAAAAGAACTTGCCTAGGACCAAGAGTCACCTGAGCTGCGGGGACACCATAGGGCTGATTGAAGAGCAGGGTGAGGGCTGCAAGCCCAGCAGTCTGGGACCAGCTGAGGAGCTTCCCACCTGCCATGCCCCAGCAGCTGCCAGCACAGAACGCAGCAGCTCCGATGGCGGCCCAGGGAGGACCATCGAAGGGCAGTCTCCAGAGCCCGTGTTTGGGGATGCCACTGAGGTGGATGCATCTGAAGTGCAGGTGAAATTGGAATCCTTAAACCTGGATGCAGGGGATGCTGCGGCCGATGCAGAGCCCCGCGTGCTCCCACCCAGTCAGCGGCAGCCCCCAGAGCTGTCTGACACCCCTGGAGAGAACAGAGCCACCAGCAAGCCTCTTCAAGGCAGCAACTCGAAAACTCCCATCTTTAGCCCTTTCCCCAGTGTGAAACCCCTGCGGAAATCAGCCACAGCCAGGAATTTGGGGTTATATGGCCCCACGGAAAGAACCCCAACTGTGCACTTCCCTCAGATGAGCAGGAGCTTCAGCAGACCTGGTGGTATTGGCAGCGGCGGTGGTGGCAGTGGCAGCAGCTCTAAGAAACGGTGATGTCTCCAAAACACTCACCTGGGCCTGCTGGTGGAAGAGTTCCTGTTGAATGACTCCAGAAGGTTCTGTTTGTCTACTGCCCAAGACAGAGAACTTCGGAGCTGGGCCACAGCTGATCCATATGGGAACTACAAGTTTTGTAAAGGGAGCCAGAAAAAGGATGTGTCCCCAGCCCCTTGATGACTGATAGTGAAGTAATTGTTGTGACAAACAGTTGGGGTACCCCAATTTTCCACTGTAAGCTGTTTAGGAAAGACTCTATTTCTAGACTGTTAACCTCACTTCTGTTCTCCTGCTCTGAGGGCTTCTTGGGGTTCCTGTGGAACAGCAGCTCCAAATCTTCCAGTTTCCTGGGTGTTATAACACCTTAAGCATGCATACACCAGCTTCTAGAACAGAAAGTATCAAAACAAATTGAATTTGTTAGTTGGCAAAAAAAAGTTTTCTCTTCATGCTGTATTTGGGGGTTTGTATGTTTGAGTTTTCCCTCATCATGAATGTCAAAGTTATTTCTCATTCTTCTGCTAAAGCATAGGAGGAAAATCTCCGTAGCCTTCCTTTAACTTTCTACCTACGAAACAAGGACAGTCTTTAATCTGTTGAAATTTAGGTTGATGATCAATTTAAAGATCATATGCAGACAACACAGACAGGATGTGCATTAAGCAATTACTCTGGGCTGCTTGCTGATTCACTAAGCTTTTCCCTGGGTTCATTTTCTCCTCGCAAAGAAAACTGCTCTTCACTAGTGCAGACAGCCTGATGCATTGAGCAGGGAGCTTGTCCTGTGTCCTCAACCATGTAGCTAATTTACCCACCAGCTTGCCACAGCAGACACTCCAGGCCTCTCTGCTCAGAAGCGAGAACACAGCACCTGCGACTCTGTTACTTGAATTTTGTGCTTTTTTGATTGGAGGACTTTGTGGAGTATTTTGTTACTTGAACACTGCCTTTTTCCAGAGAAGGCCCCAGGGCTTTCTAACTCTGTCTCACCTTCTTCACTCCTACCCCTGGTCCCAGAGGGTCAGAAATAGCACCTCTTGTCTCCACTATGCAGTTGGGAACTCTGAGCCACATAAAGGTGAAATAGCACTTCAGTCACTCAAGGTAAATATTCCTGGTATTCCATGTGACTTAGCCACGTTTCTTCTAGTACAGTAGGCAAGCTCCACATTCTTTGTATACAGATGCACTGCTACAGAGGGTATGGAAACCAAGACTGGGAAGCTGCTCACCACATTCCCTTGTGACTCCAAGCACTTTTGTCCAGATGGCACAGAGCCAGCTCTTCCTGCCCTACCTTGGAAAGGTACCTACTTCTAAAAATACAGTGTGTTGCTGTCATTTGGCTGAACTAAAGTTTCCTTCCACTACCACCATGAGAAGGATGGACTCAGCATCTATGTCTTTGTCCTGGGAAGACTGTAGCAATGCTCACGGGAAGCATGTTGATGTCATTGGAGGTCACTGGGCGCTCATTCTAAAGCCAAGGCTGCAGCTTTAGAGAGAGAGCATTTACTGTGAGAGTTTATTTTATGATAAAATAGAGAATGTGGTTGTAGGAGTTTTTTTTTTTTAAAAAACAGAAAATACAAGAATCACATACACAGTGAGCAAAGCCGTTTTGTCGCCTTCATGTTATTTTTACAAACCCAAAGAAACCGAAGATGGATAATAATGTCTAAGAAGTTGTTGCAGTTTTGACCTTGAGCTTTGTGTCATATGAAGTTAGATTGCAGCTTCTTTAAATCATCCATGCTGCAGCCTGTTTCTTGGGAAAGGTGTAGGTGGACAGTTGAGGTTACTTTGTTTGCCACCTGCAAGAGCTGAGACCCACTGCGTTTTCCAAAATTAAGGAAATGACATAGTCTGCCTACACCTCCCAAACTTGATGCGATTTCCACCTCATACTTCTTTCTTCTCCCCCATCCTTAAGCATCAGAGTAATCAGTTCCCTTGGAAGGATATTTGATTGATTGGAGAATTGTTGCTTCCTCCCTTGAGTCAGCTCACTAGCTCTCTGAAAGTCTGGGTTTGGGATGGGCAATGAGGTGGAGCCATCTGGCAATTGAGTGTTGGAAGTGCATCCTTGTACACTGTAAGCATCTCACCTGCTCCCTGGACTTGAAGAGGGGATGGATGAAATGACCCATATTTGGGGAAAATATTTATTGATGAAAGAGTAAAGTCATTTGAGGGACCAAATTACCTGGTCACAATTTTACATATCCAGCAGATTCCTGTGAAACTACTCCACCAACAATGTGCATGCACTGTAGCAAGTAACTACAATGTGAATAGGTCAACTTACAAGCCTTGCCTACTTTAGGAAACAAAGAAATCTACAGTAGCCTCTGCCATGACAGCATGTACAAGACCAGAATGGACTTGCTCTCTTCCCCATGTCTTGGACACTGTATGCAAACACCAGAAGTACTTAACAAGTAGCCGTTCATCATAGACATGTCGGTACGCTCCCTGCACTTCTGTCGGGAGGGGACCGGCACCTCAGCTCTTTCACAAAGGTCTCCAGGTAGTCTACCCCTGATTTGTAATGTCCACCTCTGGGCTGTGACTGTTTGGAATGTTGTATTCTTTTTCTCTTTTTGTCTCTGTTGTTCTGAAGAGTTGTTCTGATCACAGATATATGCATAAAGATTCTCATGATAGCTGTGGTGCTGTTTTCTATTTGAGCGTATGCACAAACACTGTGGTTATATTGGCCTCATTTTCCTCTCCACTCCTGACTTCCTTCTTCTACCCCCTATTTGATCACATGAACCAACAAAACAGCCCGAAAGTTCCATGTACCACAATCTGATCACTGAGTTGCAAGGTGACTGATGGCCTGCCTAAAACTGGTTCCTGAAGATGAGTAAGCAAAGTTTATGTGTGTGTGTGTGTGGGCACACAAATTAACCTTTGGATCTACATTTTAGTAGAATACAGCTGAGCTTTCAGATCATGAGAACTATGGAAGAGTTGAGAGCTGTGATCAACCGTGCAGTTGCTGTCATCTCTGCATAAAATCTCTCTTCACATGGTTTCTAAACTACAGCCATCACTTGAGGCAGCATTTTAACATTATGTCCCTTAACTAGAAAATCGGTGCGTGTTGTAGAAAATGGAAAACACAGAGCCCAAAGAGTCAATGACAATCTGATGTGTTTCTTTCCTGTGTGTGTATGTGTGTGTGTGTGTGTGCGCGCGCATTGTTAACCTACTTAAAGGATTGTTGAACCCAGTAAGCTGTCTTTCCAGCCAACAAGCACTCCTCGGGTACTGGCTTCAATAAGTAGCATTTCATCCCATGTTTGTTCTAGAACCCATAACTAGCTCCTTGTTGTACAGGTGGTCTCTGATTGTAACTAGACTGGAGAGATCAAGTGAGATTTACTACAATTTTTGAGTGCAGCCTTTATTGTTTTCAACATAGGTTCCTACAAGTGGAGTTGGAGGATCACAAACTATATCTAATTTAGAGATTATGTCACTCAGTTGCTGTCCTTGTAAGAGGTATTTGTGATAATAGCAGTGAATGGGAATGTCTGTTTCTCTACACCCTAGAGGAAGCAGTGTCCCCCCCCCCTTTTGTTCTTTCTGAGGCCTCGGGTGGAAGTGTTGAAAAAAGGGTTGAGACAGACCATGATGGCAGTCATATCTCATTCCTGTCTTTTAAACAATACCATTAAGTAAGATATTTGTTGGAGTTTGTGATGGGTACTTTCACCAGATTAAGGAAATTGCCTTTTATTCCTAATAAGAGGTTTTTAAAATTTTCACCAATGTGGCTTATTGCCTTAAGACATGGTATCCTGAATGCAAGAAAATAGCTGTTAATGAGTTTCTTCAAAGAATGTTAGATATTTTAGTATTGCAATTGATAGAAGAGGTTTTTGTTTGTTTTTAGGTGTTCATTGAAGGGTTGAATTTACTAATGAACATTTGGAAAATCTAAATACCTGAGGATAGGGAAATGTTTTGGTGAATGATCTGGAGCTGGGGAGCTGTTAGCTCATAGCTGCGGATGGAGGTCCCTTACTGACTGGTGGCCAAAGGCAGACCCACACATGCAGTTCTTCCATGGCAGCAGACTGTGTTCACTGGGATGGGGATTGAGTGGGGACTGTTGGACTTGGGTGCTGAGGGAGCTTCCATGAAGTCCCCTCCTGGCCATCTTCTGTTGCTTAGGATTTGAGCTCTGCTGTTTTTGGAGGCTGGGGGCTTCAGCCTCAGAGCTTGCGTTCTTCTTGTCCTACAGGCTGGGAATTCGAGGATGAAGGTATTGTTGACAAGTTTGGCATCTGATGAGAGAAGTTTGCAGATGATAATGTTCTTTTGACATTCTCACATGTTGGAGTGGGGAAGGGAACACACACACACACACACACACACACACACACACACACCCCCACACACACACACCCCTGCAGTTGGGCTCTATCCCTCTTTATTGCTACCAGCCCAGCAGCCTTTTCCTGATTGCTCCACCCTGCACCCAAGGAGCTTCAATTCTCTTTTTTAATTTTAACTTTACAAAGCCAGAAATTAGATTGCTCTCGAATGCATTCCTGCTATAACAATTCTAGTTCTCCTTCAGGGAAAGCTGATCACTCAGGAAGCAGCTGGACCAGTTCCCTCGTTCCCATAGCTTCCTGGGAGGAAACAAGTTCACACTTCAACCCACTGAGTCCCCTCTGAGAACTTTGGAATCTGTGCTAACTCCAGAAGCAAAGCAGTCAGAGCCAAAACCTCTCAGCAATTCTGGCCTTGGATTGGATTTGGCAACGTGAAGCTGTTTGAGTGATTTCCTGCCTGTTTCCCTGCCACCCACCTTGGGCTTTCCCCCTCTCCACCTCTCCACCGTCCTGGCTATACATGACAGCCAGACTTACCTTTCTGAAATCAGACATTGGTAAGTCCATTCTTGCATTCAATATTTGTTACACATACCTGATTTCCTAGATAATAAGAGCTAAAATCATCATCTTTGTGGCACCCACGGTTGACTTTCCATTTTGTCCCCCCATACTCCTAGTTCATTGTTATCTGCAACCCTCATCATCAGTAGTCACAGCACCTGAGAGCTGAGAGCCAGGACAACAATCCAGTATCCCATGTGGGTGGCAGGAAGCTAGAGTCAGGAGATGCAGCCAGGTTAGTTCAATATGAGATGCAACTGCTAAACTAAATGCCTATTCCCCAAGAAATAGAATTTTAAAGCATTTAATGTTGATATGAAACATGAATAGATTTTACATATTAATGTCTTTGAAAAGTATTCCTTCAGGAGGAAAATGAGCATAACTAATCTTTTTCTAGGTATTCATCTTCCCATTTCATTTGTTCTAGTTTATGTTCAGAGTATTTGATCAGATATTTCATTAAAGAGATGAAAAATGGCCCGGCACAGTAGCCTAGTGGCTAAAGTCCTAGCCTTGAATGCGCTGGGATTCTGTATCGGCGCCAGTTCTAATCCTGGCAGCTCCACTTTCCATCCAGCTCCCTGCCTGTGGCCTGGGAAAGCAGTCGAGGATGGCCCAAAGCTTTGTGACCCTGCACCTGCGTGGGAGACCCGGAAGAGCTCCCGGCTCCTGGCTTCAGATTGGCCCAGCTCCAGCCGTTGTGGCTACTTGGGGAGTGAACCATTGGATGGAAGATCTTCTTCTCTGTCTCTGCTCCTCTCTGTACGTCTGCCTTTCCAATAAAAAGAAATCTTTAAAAAGAGAGATGAAAATGGGTACAAAGAGGAAGTTTCATTTCCAGTTGCAGTTTCTAGAAAGCTTTGGAAAGACTCAATAAAGCTGAGTTACTAAAATAAAACAAACCCCACACACACAAACCCCAAACCAATCAACCAAACAAAAAGCCCTTGAATACAAGGTGTAAGAGACAGCAATCAGAGGGGAAGAATCAGAAATCAGTGGAGGAACCTTCATGTTGCAAGTACCTTAAGGTTCTTGCCCCTTTAGATAAGCACTGGACATTTTAGGTGAGGTTTAGTGGCTTGACTGAAGCAGCCTAGAGAAGAGGCAGTGATACTATGATAGCAGTGCTAGGTTTCCAGGTTTCTTGAGCTCTGCATGTATCATTTTAATTACTGATTTTTGGAATTTTCCAGTCAATTCCCTGTTAGGTAGAGCTAGATAAGCGGTACCAAGGGAAGGTGCAAAGCTTTGGGAATTTCTTTTTTCTCTGAGCAGGAGTGTAATGGACTTATCTGACCAGTAGATGTCAATGTTGCTTCATATAAACATGACCAAGCGCCTCAGTTCTAGTGATAGGCTGGCAACTGGTGCTTGGCAAAGGCTCAGGGTGTTTGTGTGTAGAAGGGAGCAGGAAGGATCTCATGGTTGCCTCTTCCCTCATACGTGTACATTTTAAAAAATGGATACATTTACTGGATAAGGAGAACGCAGGCACTGAGTTCCCAGCCTAGGATCAGTGGGTCTCGAAAAATGACTTCTAAAACAGCTTTCTTTGAAAACAAGTGCAGTGCTGCTTCTATGGTAAAACAAAGCAAATGTTACATACAGTTTACATAGAATAGACACGTGGCCTGATGTGCAGTGCACGTCCTTGTATCATAACAGGATGCCCCAGGAGATGGCCGCTCCTGGTTGTGCAAAGAGTGAAGCCGGCAGCCTGGAGCCCAACAGTGTCTCTTTGAAGAATGGCCTGCAGAGGAGGGCCGCTCTGGATTAAGGAGTGGGGCTGGCCTTGCTGTGTGCTGAGCTAGCCACAAGAACACCATTTCAGGCCCTGACAGCTCTTCCATATATCCCAGAGCTTAGAGAGTCCTCGGTGTGCCTCATGTTGGAATGCTGTCTGAGCGAAGAACCCTACCTTGTTGGGTCATTCCATGGAACATGCAGCTGTGTTAGATAGAAGAAATGTTCTAGGTTAAGACAACCCCTGCCAGCATCCTGAATCATTTCTCATAGGATCCTTAGGCTGTTGAGTATCAGTTTGGGAGACATCAGTACTTATTTATGGAACAGCTTTGGGCGCAAGGCATTGTGCTAAGCAATTAGAGGCATTCTTTAGAGACAGCTGGGATTGTCTGTCCTGCTTATTGTGTCTGCTGGAACAAAATATAGCATAAGTGAGGTCTATTTCATATCAATTAAAGGGGCAGTTTGGGCACTCAATCTGACGCTTTCTTTTAATGGCATTGTCTTATTTTTTTCATAAAAACAATACTGGCTTATATTTCTCAGGATCTGTGCAAAACAAGTTTTATATATTGTGTCTTTGGTCTTGTTTATAACATAGAAATGCACCACAAACTCAGTTCTTTATTCCTCCATTCATTCCAAGAGTGGCTATTGAGTCCTTCACAATTGTACCTGGCATTTAGTAAAGAGATAGGACAGTTGATCTGCTTTTTGTGGACTGTTTGTCAACCGATCCTCCTACAGTTGAGTCAGTCACATATTTGAAATCTCTGCCTGCTGTGACCTGGCCCCAGTGACAAATACAGGGCAGCTTGAGGTTGCTTGTTCTATAGAAATTTTTGACGGATCTAATTGTGAGGGCATCTGATTCAATAGCAAGGAAAATGAGCAAAATAGCTTGGAGTTGAGAATCTCATATCAATGCAAAAATGATGCCTCAAAAACGTCAAATAGTTATTCTATTCCCCATTTTTTAAGTAAAATTCAGGG